CTGACAAGTGCTTCTATCCTTTGCAAGAAAACGCTAGCTAGTTTATGAATATTACCTTCATCATCGCCTTACCCATCAACGGCAAGGCGATGATTAAGGAATTCTCTTCGATCAAAAGATATTAGATATCACTGTTTCGTTAGCTAATAAAATGTTGGGGTTCAACATGAGGGACGTTAAAGAGTTATCTGTCTCAGTTCTTAAAATTCTATACAGGGTGTCCAAGATAAGGATCCTATGGGAGATACAGCTTAGGTTAAATTTAGAAAGTTGCGATTTTTAGAAACCATCATCAACTTGATTTTTTTTATATGGTCCGGAAAAGTACAGCCTGTTTCTAAGAGCATTTTTGTATGGATAGTGAAGGATCTAAGTTTGGACCTTGCGGAACACCAGACGTAATTAAAATAGTATTATATCCATGATATGAAACAAATTGAAACCTATCTGGCGGTATGATTTAAGTTTATCGGAAAAAGAAGAAGCTAGAAAGATACCAATTATGCTATTCTATGCAAGTAAAACTAGAAGTATTTTCGACTATAGGAAACTCCCTAATTTCCAAAAACCATATTTTTTTCTCCTGGAACAACACACTTGAAATTGTTCATTTACTCAATAATAAAATTTGAATCATTATTTCCTATGTATTTTTCCGCTCCTGTTTCGTAGTTCTGTACTAGTAACCAGTTTACTAAAAGTGATTCGGTTTCACAGTACCATTTAACTTTGGTACTTCAGAAATTTATTGTTTGCTCTGAAGTTTTGCAATGGTCTTGATAATTGTATGTTAAAGTTTTTGAAATATTTTGAATTTATGCTGCTATCCAGTGAACCTTCGGAAAAGGTACACAGCATTGTGAAACCCAATCACTTTCTGTAAGCTAACTACTACTACAGGAATGCAAAGGAATGGTGGGAAAATACATTTTGTCATTATCAAGTGCTTAATTTTACGAAAAATAAGAGTTATGTTTTTTTGTAATTTGGATGATATTCTGCTTCTTTCAGTGATTTGGTACAAAGAAAAAAAAATGCGGTTGCATCGCTTTGTGTGATATATTACAAGAAATAGCAGAAGTAGAGGCAATTTTTTCAATGATCCTAATTTACACTAGTTCGAAAAGATATGCAAAATCAAACCACTCAGTGAACAACAATTTTTTTATAGCATGTACTCCATATTTTCACAACTCGGAAACTATTTTCATAGCAAACCAAAATAAATGTTAATAATAACCCACAAATAATTTGCTCTGCAGTATGAAACATTTGATGGTTCATGTCATGGTTTTGGATTTTTCTCTATGGTTTTACAAATTTGTCCCTAACTCAAATACGGTTTGACTTTGTACTAAGATACACATATGTGGCTTAATGTGTTCCAAACAGCGTGTACAATCAACCCTTTAAGGTTTGCATCAACCATCAGAGCACCCTTCCATATTCACTTTAACATACAGGGTATTCGAGAAATAAGCGGAGACATCTTATAGTGCGATCCCTTGTTAAAAAAATATGAAAAAAAGTTTCTACAAAAATAGATCTGGAAATGCAGAGTTTTCAAGATACAGAGTGGTAAATGAAAAAAAAATATTAGTATCTTAAAAAAATTTTTTTACTCCATTCTGTTGAAATTTGGCCATATTATTTGTTCTATTAAGAGGCTAATTTAGCTCTTAATAGATTAAAATTATTATGTCCAGTAGCGTCCCGTGGGGCACCTTATCGAATATTATTAGCAACAAAATGTACGCCACTGCCGTTTTTGTAGCTTTAATATTTGCTGTATGATTAAGCATCTAAAAATACAACTTCTTTGCCTCTTGTATTTTTTCGAAATCTCATTTCAAATAAATATCGTTTTATTGCATGGACAACATTGGTTAATTAATTTTAAAAATAAAACGTTTTTTATTTTTTTTCTCAAAAACGAAATGAAATACGAAAAAATACAAGAGGCAAAGTTGTATTTTCACCTGCTTAATCAACAAATATTAAAGTGACAAGAAAGGCAGTGGCGTAAATTTTTGGGCCAATAATATTTGCTAATGTGCTCCCCGGGACGCCACTGGACCTGATAATTTTAATCTACTTAGGGCTTAATCAGCTACAACAAACAATATTATATATATATATAACTTGAGACGTGGTCATTGTCGTCTAGACCAGTTAGGTGAAAAATTAAAGCTTCCGCCTTTTGTTGGGTACTTCGACAAAATTTAAGCAAAGAGGACTCTTTATACTTTTTTTAATTCTCTCTAGCTTTCAATGGACTTTGCCATCATCATCAGGAGCTGCAATTACAGTGATAACAGTAGCAACAAAGGTGTAAAATGAATTTAAATTGACTCAACTTACAGTAGTATGTGAGGATGTTGCTAATTGTTGTTTACGTATAGGATGAGGGAAACGTCCAGTAACATGGTGAGAGCTGGACAGATTGTACAATGGTCAAAATTATATAAAATATGACAAGAACAAGTTAAAAACAGATTAAAAATTATTTAAAAAACATTAGAGCATTACATCGTGAAGCCACTTGATGATTGCACAAATTAGTGGTCATGGTATAATGAGTGACATGAAACCCTTTGACAGAAGGCCGAAGGATGTCAATGTCAGTGTTGAAAGATGGAACGAATTGTGGGCGTGTGCCAAACGTTGCCAAATCACTTCAGATGATGAGATTTTCAGAATTTTATGTTAGAATTTGTTAAAACCGACCAGAGGCAGTTGAATAAACTATATTATTATTAATGGGAATTTAAATTAACAAATATTAATAAATCGTGAGGAGAGAATTATTATATTTTGAGTGGAATGAAATTTACTGGTGGAATCGGCCAAAACACAGATTCTAATTATGGTTGTGAAGAGTTGAAATTTGGGGAGATATCTAAGTTCTCCAATTTTTCGCAGTTCAGCAAATATGAGTAAATGACACTCAGTTGTTTAACATCTGTCTTTTTGTTGATACAGTTGTTATTCATGAAAATGTGGGACATTTCCAGGAATAAACGTTTGGAAAGGTGTTTTTCATTTTTTCAAAAATGAAAGACAAAGTCCCGCTGCTTGGCTTAACCAACACAGTCTACTCCATCAATTGCAACAACTGCAACCAAATATACATAGGTCAGACCTCCAGATCTCTTAAAGGAAGGATTACGTCACACAAAAGTGATGCTAGGCTTCATCCTGAAAGATGCGCTCTAGCATCTCATGTTAACACAACAGGGCATTCTATGAATTACACAAGTATCAAAGTTCTTGATAAAGAAAAACACCTTTCCAAACGTTTATTCCTGGAAATGTCCCACATTTTCATGAATAACAACTGTATCAACAAAAAGACAGATGTTAAACAACTGAGTGTCATTTACTCATATTTGCTAAACTGCGAAAAATTGGAGAACTTAGATATCTCCCCAAATTTCAACTCTTCACAACCATAATTAGAATCTGTGTTTTGGCCGATTCCACCAGTAAATTTCATTCCACTCAAAATATAATAATTCTCTCCTCACGATTTATTAATATTTGTTAATTTAAATTCCCATTAATAATAATATAGCTTATTCAACTGCCTCTGGTCGGTTTAACAAATTCTAACATAAAATTCTGAAAATCTCATCATCTGAAATGATTTGGCAACGTTTGGCACACGCCCACAATTCGTTCCATCTTTCAACACTGACATTGACATCCTTCGGCCTTCTGTCAAAGGGTTTCATGTCACTCATTATTCCATGACCACTAATTTGTGCAATCATCAAGTGGCTTCACGATGTAATGCTCTAATGTTTTTTAAATAATTTTTAATCTGTTTTTAACTTGTTCTTGTCATATTTTATATAATTTTGACCATTGTACAATCTGTCCAGCTCTCACCATGTTACTGGACGTTTCCCTCATCCTATACGTAAACAACAATTAGCAACATCCTCACATACTACTGTAAGTTGAGTCAATTTAAATTCATTTTACACCTTTGTTGCTACTGTTATCATTGTAATTGCAGCTCCTGATGATGATGGCAAAGTCCATTGAAAGCTAGAGAGAATTAAAAAAAGTATAAAGAGTCCTCTTTGCTTAAATTTTGTCGAAGTACCCAACAAAAGGCGGAAGCTTTAATTTTTCACCTATATATATATATATATATATATATATATATATATATATATATATAAGTAAAAAAGAAACATTTTTTTAATTTATCACCTTATATCTTGAAAACTCAGCATTTCCGGACCCATGTTTATAGAAAATTTTATTTTTCGAACACTCTGTATTTGTTCAACTCGGAAACTGCTTATATTTTCTTAGAGTCCAACCTTCAATGTTTTATCATATGTACGTATATAGAGGAAGCTTTTCCCAATCCTACTAACCTTAGGCTGTTCAAAAATCGGATTAAAAAAAATTCTTTTGGGTTCTCATAGCAGCCGCGGTGCCCTGGCATTTAGGTTTCTGCTTGCGCGGCTGCTTCGGTATAAAAAAAATTAAAAATATTCATAAGGAAAGTTAATTTCATAATATTTACAAAAATATGGAGTCCTATTATCAAAAAGTTGCAGGGATTCGTTTTTCCGAAATAACTCAAAACCCAAAATCACTATAACACATCCGTACGCGGCTAACGTTGCGAATACCGTTTAAACTTACCGATTTGTTAATATTTTCCTATTCCAGTAATCTTCAATAGATCATTCAAACTTATACGGTATCATAGCGATCCAACTTCCTGTACAAATATCCATTCTATTAGATAGTCAACATCGGCATTTTAACACAAAAATAACATGATGGAGTTACACTTTAATAGCAAAGCAAAAATGCATTCACAGACCTTGACGGTGCAAGCAACTTTGAAACGTTCCCTAGCGAGGAAGTAAGGAAACTCGTAAGTTAGGTCAGTGACCGCTCTATTTTTCCTACCAAATTTAGGTCGACCGGCTATAAACGAAAGTCAAAGCTGGTATTGATCTTGTGCTACTTACAACAGGTGCAAACTCGATTAGTTGACCAGTGGTAGTGTTCTTCTTACTGAGAAACACATTGTTTTGATGTTATTTTTATTCTATGTATATTTTTCTTCCGTCACTTCCTGATTGACATTTGCATTCCAATGTTTTTGATACTCGTCCAATGTTTTTTCAGAACTAATTCACTCTCATTAGTATTTACTTTACTCTTTGAAAAGTATTTTCTAGCAATTTTCACATGCTGCTTGAGTTTATCTTATGTGACTAAACGTACGCTTTTATAATCAATAACAGCTGGATGTGATTATGCGCAGAGGGCCTTATCTAAGGACCTTTTGCCATCCACATGTTAGTCTAGCAGATTTGGTTATGTTAAGTTTTGAGAATAGAAGATACTAACTAGCTAGATTAATCGTGTAAAACTTGTTTCTAATAATATAAACTGGTGGACAGTTGACAGTTGCTTTGCAACATGGAAAATTTTACCCAAATTCAAATCTTGATATTTTCGGAATGGAAAGAGATATTGAGTTACGGTATTCGAGAGGTTCTTAACCAACTCTTTGAGAATACGTACGTCATGTTTTTTTAGCAAAGTTTGGGGCTATGTCATATTCTCAATTTCTATATTGGTAATTTTTCTATGCATCTTTTTGTTCTTTCGACTATTATAATGAAGCAATTTCATAACACACATAATCGAATTTTAAAAAGTGTTACATTTGTCCCAAAAAAGGGACTTTTTTGGGGTTTCTCGTGAAAATGGGTATTTTTTCTCATACTGTTGGATAAACCGGAAAAATTGTACTCATTGAACGTTATTGCCTCCAGTGTCGTGCAGTATAAATTTGGTACTCTGACAATTTTACTATGCAATTAAACAGCTTAATGAACAAATCCAAGTTACTACTCCTAATATAGGGTTGTATTTCAGTGACGTAACACCAAAAGCTTTTTTTTTGGTTTGTCAAGAAGTGCTAATCACTTGAAGATTTTTATTTTTCAAAATGCTATAATGCTGGCCACTCGTTTATCTGGAATTTTTTATCTTTCTCATTCAGCATTGGCGTACCCGTCTTCACTGGAGATGTTTTAACTAATAGGTCAGGAGTTCCTAAACAGGGAGGCGCGCCTCCCAAGGGGGGCTTAGAGAGATGTCACGGGGGCGGAAAGCGTTTGAGTTTTAGAAATAAAAAACAATAAAATAAACAAACAACATTAACAAATAACATTACAATGTGACGTTTGATTTACACGCATAAAATTAGAAATTAAATATCATATTCACTTATTCTGTCAACCGCTGTTTTAAAACTCGGCGTCGTCAATCGTAGTTTATACAAGTTTCGACAAGTCACAACATGAAATCCGCGCGCACCACCACCGCGCTCCGCTTTACATTCATCACTTACAAAACAATTGTGTACCTACCAGACGCGGATGAGCATCTGTGACATTCATTCCCACAAACTTGCGGAAAATTTGATGTTTCGATGTACATGTTTTGTAGAGAAATCTGTTTGAGTGTCTCAAATTATTGTGTATCACTGTTAATAGGTAAGTTTGTGTATTTACAAACTTCAGTTACCATTTTTATTTAATTTACTAAATTGTTGATTGAGTGGAGACGCGTTCATAGATCGGCCAATGGGACTTTTTTACCACATCACAATCAAACCAACGTGACGAAATAATTTTGAAACGACGAACTTTAAATACCTAATATTGATTCCAAATGTAAAGTCCAATAGGGACGCAGGAAAGTAAACGTCAATTTGACTTAGACGCCATCTTTGTTTTCTGTCACCGACATGTCATTTTGTTAGTTGAATGTTTACCATTGATCGTATTCGATTGAAGACCGCATTAAAGTTATTCAAGAGCACTACAAAAATGGTGCAAAAATAAAAAACACGTTTCGCGCGCTTCGTGAACATTTCGGTCGCAACAACCGCCCAAACGAAACAACCATCGCTCGTCTGGTGCGTAAATTCGAGGCAACAGGTTCTGTGGCAAATCTGCCAGGCTCTGGCCGGCCAAGGAGCGTTCGCACACCGGAAAATATTGCTGTTGTGAAGGAGAGTGTGAGAGACGATCCGAAACAATCAACAACGCGTCGATCCCAAGAATTGGGCATTTCGAGAACCAGTTTGCTCCGCATTCTCCACAAGGATTTGAATGTACACGCCTGCAAGATCCAATTGACGCAAGAGCTGCGTCGGGCCGACCATTTTTCGCACCGAACGTTCTCAGATTGGCTCCTTGAACACCGCCAAATTGATGCCAATTTTTCATGAAAAATTATGTTCAGCGACGAAGCGCATTTCACTTTGAATGGGACGGTAAACAAACAAAACTGCCGCATCTGGGCGAACGAAAATCCCCGTGAGTATCAAGAGCAGCCGATGTATCCTCAAAAAGTGACTGTGTGGTGTGCATTGTGGTCAAAAGGCATCATCGGACCTTACTTTTTCGAAAATGCGGCCGGGGACGCCGTTACCGTCAATTCTGAGCGATATCACGTGATGATAGAGGACTATTTTTTGCCGCAACTTGAAGGAATGGATATGGACGATGTTTATTTCCAACAAGACGGTGCAACATGCTACACAACCAACGTCATTATCCATCGATTGCAGTCCTTCTTCGGTGATCGCGTGATTTCGCGCAGAGGAAATGTGCCATGGCCACCAAGATCGTGCGATTTGACTCCCTTGGACTTCTTTTTATGGGGATATTTGAAAAGCAAAGTCTACGTCAATAAACCAGCCACCCTCCAAGAACTCAAAAACAACATCATTGTCGAGATAAATGCCATAGAACCGACCATGTTGCAAAATGTCATTGAAAATTTCGACCATCGCGTGGACGTCTGTAAATCCAGTCGTGGTGAACATTTGAGCGATATTATTTTTCATACATAAATGGTATAAATGAACCTTCAAAATAAAGTACTCAACTTGATTTGAATATCAATCTTTCTTGTTTTAATATGCGTTTACTTTCCTGCGTCCGTTTTGGACAACCCCATACTTATTACTTATTTATTATTTAACTTCATAAAAATCTTTTCTACCCTGAAGTATTTTAATGTTATTCCATGTAATTTTTTCATTTTTGGTGTTTTTGGAAAATTGTTTTCCTACTTCACTGGTTAATGTTTTTATATCATAAATGTCACTTTGTTGGACTTCGTTAACAACATAAGGTGTGCCAGTTTTTTTTTGCAAGGGCGATGATGGGTATCCACTGTGCAGGTATATAGATGATGTTAGCTTTTAGCGTTCTGTTCTCATCTCTTTCAATGGCAGAATGCATACTGTCACCCTCATTGTGGGTGTGACAGGCAACCAAAAACTTGTGGTTAATGGTATTTATGTTTAGTAGTAAAGTACCCAACTTGATTTGAATATCAATCTTTCTTGTTTTAATATGCGTTTACTTTCCTGCGTCCGTTTTGGACAACCCCATATTTAAAATTACTATTATAACGTCAACCGGCCTAGAAGAATATAAATCTCCCGGTGGCCAATATACTGTTGAATACATTACGTTAAGATAAAATAATGGGCATATAATTAGTAATTACATGTAGGTATTTTGCTTAATCATTCATTACTTAGTTGTTTTATTGTTATAGGTGCAAAATGACAGCGAAAAAAAGAAAGTTTCCCGAAGCGTACGTTAAGTTTGGACTTCATCGAAAAAGATGAGTTACAATTGCCTCAGTGTGTGATATGTATGAAAGTCTTAAGTAATAATAGCATGAGGCCTAATCGCCTTAAAAGGCATTTGAAGCATCAACATCCTACTCTGGTTTTGAAGACGAAAGAGTTTTTTTTCTACTAAAGCAGAATCAATCAAGCGGATGAGACTGAATAAATCGGGAAGTTATCACACATGTGTATCGCACCATCTCGAGGCTTCATTTGAAATTGCTTTTATGATAGCAAAGCAAGAGAAACCTCATACTATCGGTGAAGAATTAATAAAACCATGCGCAGAGCAAAAATTAAGTCTATTTTTCTTTCGAATAACACAGTCAAGCGTAGAATCGATGACATAGCAGCAGACATAAAGTCACAAATAATTAACAAAGTAAAATTATCTCCATTTGTTGCCATTAGTTGCAATTAATCCACCGACAACGTTAATTGGGCACAGTTAACAGTTTATGTAACGAACATTGCCGAAGAAATCATTCAAGAAGAGATTTTGTACTCCGAATCTTCGACAGCAGGTACTACTACATCTGTTGATATATTTAATTTAATAACAAATATTGAAAAAAATTATTTGGATTGGATGACACATTTCAATGGAGGTTGGGTTATTTAACTGACATATTTGACTCCTTGAATGAGCTAAGCGTGAAACTTCAGGGCAGAAACAACACTATAATAAGCAATTATCATTATATTCAGGGGTTCATACCAAAGGTTCAACTTTGGAATCAAAAAGTGTCTTCTGAAAATGTTATATCTTTCTTCTCGGCTGTTCGAAGCGATTAAAAATAACATACTGGACCCAAATTTAAAAGCTGACATAAACTCATTTGCAAGCGCTGGAAGACGAATTTCGCCGATACTATCGAGACATCAATTCGGAGTCACCAATATGGCACATGACAAGAAATCCATTCGTTGTCGATGATTCACAATTACCAGAAGAAGTTCAGGAAGAATTTCTAAAAATGAAGGCTGATTCGTCCATGAAAGATGACTTCCATCTTTTAACATTGGAGAAATTTGGATCAAAACATTGAACGTTAAATCGACACTTGCCTCTCTTGCTTTACGAATACTAGTTCCTTTTTCTTTAACTTATTTATGTGAGACAGACTTTTCTGCTCTAGTTTTAATTAAAAAAATCGTCTTGATGTCGATAGCGACCTGATGATAGCTTTGGCAAAAACAGAACCTAGAATCAACCAACTGGTACAGAACATGCAATCTCAAGTGTCTCATTAGTACCTACCCTTATTTTATTTAAGTTTTTTGATAAAAAACATTTATTAGATTATTTAAACTTTTAAAGTTTCTTTATTAGAATTAAAATAAAAGTCTTTGTACCTATATAATGTGCGTTTTTTGTATTTAGCGAAAAACTAAAGGACGACATGAAAATATAATTTATAGTCCTGTAATAGGTCATAGACTCTATTAAATCTTTGAACAATATCAAATAATGCATTGATTAACATTCACAATATATAACATTTTAGAAAACCAGTTAAATACCTAAAATATTTATTTATGACAAAACGAACTTTTGACAAAATAGCAACAGTTATTTTAAACAATATTGTTAGTATCTACCTTGTATAGCCATCGATCACAGCCTAGCATCTTCGTGACATACTTTCCAGAAAGTTATTAATAAATTTTCTGGAAACGTTTTCCCACTCTTCTATTGTTTGAGAAGCGTTTTTTCTTGACCGCACTAAAATTTTTAGCAGAGATCACACATGCTCAATTATGTTTAGGTCCAGAGACTTTGATAGCACCTCTGTGCGTCCTGAGCGTTATCGTCGATGGAGACAAAATTCTCGCCAAAATATATAGATAGATAGAGATATCGCTTTTTTAGGATAGTCCAAAGATCAAAAAATGCATAGGAACATTTCCAAAATCAAAAACTGAGAATCTGACAGCCCCAAACTTTGTTAGAAAAACATGACTTTCTTTGCTCACCCTGTATAATTGGATAAATAAAAATATACCGATCGAACCCTGTACCACACACTCGATATCTCTTTCCGTTCCGAAAATATCGAGATTTGAGATTTAGTAAAATTATCATGTTGCAAAGCAAACTGTGCACAAGTTTTTTACATCCTACGCAAAACCATTGTGTTGTATGTAGTAGCGTAAGGCGGAGGCGGATCCTGGTTATAGTGCAATGTTTTGAACGTACATTTTTGAGCTCAAATGTTATAATGTATGATGCCATGGGTGACTACAGTCGATACAATGTAGGGGAAGGGAGGGCAAGATGGAAGGCTTAACTTTATGATGTATAAAAAAATAAAATAACGTGATATAGAACTTTTATTTTAATCAGTCTTGAAACAGACCTTATACAGTTACAAACTTAGGCCATTAAACATTAATAATAATAAGTAGATTTTTTTCATTTTTTTTATCGTCAGAATTAAGTTCCTTTTCTTCTTTCTGTTTGCCTTCACTATCGTTGCCAGCGGGTGGTTCATCAGTATTGTTTTTCTCAACAGGATCCTTGATGACATCACATGGATTTTCAATTTCTGTAACATTATCATTATTTAAACCTATGTTTTCCGCAACGACAGGGTCTTTATTTTTGTCTCCATCTGTTACAGCAGTATTTGATTGCTCTTCAATAACTGCAGCATTTTCATAAACAGTTGCAGGTGCAAAATCCAAATCTCAAAGACAAGACAAATGTCTATTGTATGGGAAGATGCCAGCCTTTCTGAACCCACTTGTGGCATTTTGTACAGTAGCGCTTTTTTCATAGGCAATGCCGACAAGTCTAGCTATATCAAACTGATTTACCCTTCTTCCGGGATGATTCTTTTGAAAAGTATCTAGCGCTTGCTCAAAAGCTACTTTGAATGAACGGTAAACTGACACATCCAATGGTTGTAGCTTATGGCTCGTATGGGGGGGAATACTGACCATAATTAAATGGTTTTGTCGAGCTAAATTTAAAGCTTCCAAGTTTTGATGAGTAGAATAGTTATCTAGAATCAATAAAACTGGTCTGTCTTGTTTTGGTCTTGTTTTATCAATAAAAATTTTTAGCCAGTTGTTAAAAGTGCTGTTAGTTATCCAACCAGAATCTGAAACCCAAGCTAGAGAACCATTAGGAGGTCCATCTAGAAGGCGTTCATTCATTCTTTTTCTTTGTCCAAATATAAAGCAAGGAGGGATGAATCGACCAGTTGCGCTGCAAGCACAGATTACTGTGGTATGTTGCCCTTTTTCTGCTGTTGCTACAACTCCTACTTGTTTTTTACCTTTTACAGAAATAACTCTTGGAGGTTTGGAAGCACTGGTCTTGACACCAGTCTCATCCATATTATAGATGTCATCGGGTCGTCTTGTCAAAAAGTTATGGTGAGATATAATGCTCCACAGGTTATCATAGAACCGATTCACTTGCGTGCGATTAAAAGCAGAACAACGAGCTAAAGCTGTGGGTTCTGGTGTCCTGTACGCCAGTTGGGGATGTCTTTTCATGAAATCATCAAGCCATGCCTTTCCAGCTTTTTCACATGCAAAAGGATGCGGAATATTATTTACTTTCGCTACCTCATAAGCTAGTTGTTGTAGACTTCGCTTTGTTAAACCATAAAAAAGTATATCACGTTCCATTGCAAGATCACATATTTCCCTCTCCAGTTCTTTTGAAAAAACAGGTTTAAACCTTCCTAAGTTTTTGGACGAGTCCGCTTTTTTAATATGACGATAAAAAGTTCCGATTGGAATTCCATATTTTTTTGACGCCGAGCTTATTGATGTAGTTTTAGCTTCATTCATCGCCATCTGCATCGTTTCTTCGGTCCAAGAACTTCTATTGCTTTTCCTTATATACTTGTTCACCATCTAAAAACAAATTAAAAACAACAATATTAGTTATAGAAATTGAAAACAGATATCAAAATGTGCGCGGGCAAGATGGAAACTCTTCCAACTTGCCCCAAATTGCTATTTTCCATCTTGCCCATATGACCCATTCCAATAATAATATCAATAATTTGAAAATGCATTATTATTTCTCTTATTTAAATATCAATTTATACAACCGATTCAGCATAGATACTATATAAATTCATATTAGTAATATTACTCACCTTTAAATAATCCTATCATAAAAATCCAATAACTGCGTAATATTTTGCAACGAAAATAAGAAGCAAGCGTGTACACTCGTTAGGTGATCGTACCGGACTGAGCTGTCGTTCGTAAATGCAAGATGGCCGCATGCCTCTGTGTCCGTGTGGACTCGCGCGCTTCGTTACACGGTTCGGGTTTGGTAGGTAGTTTCCATCTTGCCTACTCCTTCCATCTTGCCCTCCCTTCCCCTAATAGTTTGGCGAAAAACTGCAAGAAATAACAGTCAAACCCATATGCCACAAGTTTCCATAAAAAATGTCCGGAGAACCCCCTAAAGTACGCTAGTGGAAATCAGTTTTTCTTAAATAACTTTTGAAATGTAGAATTCAACGGAATTGTGGCACCCTATAACCAGTTGGTGCTATACATGGTGTCCAAGGAAAACAAATAGCTCATTAAGATCGCCAGAGATCGACTAACCCCAACGCAATATTGCAACATACACCTATTTTATACCTTGGGAAAAACATTAATTATACGAATTAAAACTTAATTAGGTCAATTAAAAGTCTTAATTAGCTATGTGACAGCTAAAAAGTTTCATTAGTTTCATTAAACTCCGATTTCTGAATCAGTGTACTTGAATCTGCGAAATTTGTTCGATTAAACCAAAAGGCAATTGTTTAGTTAAATTTGTTAAACCGTCTGCTAACACTGATTACAGTAGTGTCTTTAAAATTAATGAACTGATAAAATAAGATTACTTGCTCCAAGTAAAACAATTTAATTATATTTATTAAATTCATTTGATTAAGGTAAAAGTGGACTGGATATTTCTCCAGGATTTACACGCTCAATAGTACAAAAAATTTTGAAAAACAATAAATTTCACCCGTACAAGATAAAACTTGTCCATGAGCTTAATGAAGACGATTTTGATAGAAGATTGGAATTTTTCGAATTAATGTGACAACGTTTAATCAACAATGCAGATCTGTTATTTAATATTTTTTTTCTCCGATGAGAGCACATACGTTCTATTGCTGTAAATAGATATAATTATCGATACTGAAGTGACTCGAATCCACATTTGTTTCGAGAGGTACACTCGCAATATTTTGAAAAAATATATGTATTTTCCGGCATTTTCAGAAACCACATTGTAGGACCTTTCTTTATTCGTGGAAACTTGAAGGGCGAGACATGTCGGAAAATACCGTAGAGTCACGAATTACCGAAATAATAGAAAATGACGTTAATTGTAATGAAAGTTACATTCATTTCTAACAAGATGATGCACTGCCGTATTATGTGACCCCAGTACTATAGTTTTTGGACACACATTACCCGAATCGGTGGATCGGCAGACGAGGCCCCATCGAGTGGCAGCCGAGATCTCTGGATCTAAGTGCTTTAGATTACTTCCTTTAGTGGCATTCGTCAGCAGATTACGGCTCAATGTAAACAAATAACTCAAGACGAAATAGTGAGGAATAGATTCGAACAAATTTTTTATTATTGTACGATGGTGGTCCCAGAAGCACCCGACCCAACGAAAAAAACACAATTTTTAAAAAAAAATTATTTATTTTTCAACATAATCTCCTTTGAGCTCATACATTTTTCCCAGCGATGTTCAATAAGTTCGATACCCTTTTTATAATAAGAACTGTCTTGCTCCTCAAAATAGCCATTAACTGCAGACATCGCTTCTTCATCGTTGGAAAATCTTTGACCACTGAGCCATTTTTTCAAGTTTGGAAACAGAAAATAATCAGAGGAGGCTAAATCTGGTGAATAGGGTGCACGAGGTAGCAGTTCAAACTTTAATTCGTTAATTTTGGTCATTGCAATAACGGATTTGAGAGCTGGTGCATTGTCTTGATGAAACAACACTTTCTTCTCAACCAAATGCGGCCGTTTTTGCTTGATTTCATCGCTCAAACGTTGCAATAAGTTCGCATAATACTCGCCGTTGATAGTTTTATCTTTTTCAATATAGTCAATGAAAATTATCCCACGCGCATCCCAAAAAACCGACGTCATAACCTTGCCTGCAGATGAAACGGTCTTCGCCTTCTTTGGAGCCGGTTGTCCCTTTTGAGTCCATTGTTTTGATTGTTCTTTTGTTTCGGGTGTGAAGTGATGGACCCATGTTTCATCCATAGTTATGACACGACGCAAAAATTCTGCTTTGTTGCTGTGAAACTTCGTTAAACACTCAATTGAAACATCTTCACGACACTGTTTTTGCTCGATTGTGAGCAATCGCGGCACCCATCTCGCACACAGCTTTCTCATGTCCAAATTTTCAGATAATATGCGATGAGCCGCACTTTTTGAAATGCCTACTATGTCTTCTAGCTCGCGCACTTTCAGTCGACGATCATTCAGTACCGCTTTGTGAATTTTCTTCACCATTTCTGGAGTCGTCACCTCATTTGGTCGACCACTGCGATGCTCGTCTTGGCAGCTCATACGGCCTCATTTAAACTCTGCCAATATTTTACTGTTGTAAACGAAGGAGCAGACTCACCCAGAGTAGAATCCAGTTTAGCTTTTATATTGGCTGGGCTGAGGCCTTTGAAATAAAAGTATTGTACCACATAACGATCACCAATTTTCTCCATTTTCACAAGTTCACTGAAAACGTTCAGTATTGATGGCCAACAAACAAATACTAAACAACGTGGAGTCTTCAAACTTGACACATGTGCTTTATAGGTTGCTTACTTTCTAATACAATGATATTCTTCAAACAACTATCGCCATCTTTAGGTCAGGCCGGGTACTTCTGGGACCCCCCTCGTATGGAGGTAAATGGACACAGTTTTTGGCACTTATTGCCACATTGACCTACCTGTTTAGAGCAAATTAGTTTTTACTTTAACTTTAATGTACATGTAAACTGTAAAATATTTTTGTAATAATGGGAGACTTGTTTTTAATTTTAAAGAAAAGTTTTGTTACTATGCGAACTATATTGATTATTATTCTTACGATACCTATCCCTTATTATCACAATTTCTAGAATTATGTTATAAACTCAAATAGCTTCACAACGATTGAAGATAGGTGTAAACTTTATGATGCAAAAGCTACTAAAACTTTCACGAGAAATCTAAAAATAAAAAAATGTGGGTTTCCATTTAAAAATCTAAAGTGTAACACAATATCTTATTTTTAGATCACCCTGTATTGTACGGCTACAGATGAAAAGACGTCCCTCTAGAAATTAAAATGACGAGTCCGAGCGTTTTTTCCAAAATATACCAAGAGAGTCACAATTAGGGGTGTGGCCTTTTCGTCGGGCCACCCTGTATAAATAAATTCGACAGCACTTTAAACAAACTAGTATATTTTCAAATACTGCAAAGTCTACACCAGGCCTGTCCAACATAATTTTGTGGAGGACCATGTTTAGTATTTTCGTAACTATAGGGTGACAAAAGAAAAGTGACACATTCTAATATGGTTTATTTATTTAAAAAAATTATTTCACTTATAATATTAACTCTTGCACAGTGTTAGCTGATATTTTAGAAGTGGCTTTGCGCAAAGTACCTGTAAGGTGGTCTAATAAAGATGATCCCGTTTTTGTTTTGTTATATTCCACGCGGGAAAACAGCTGCTCGCAAATATATGTACTACCGAATAAAGAAATGTTTTGAAGACCAATTTAGTAATGTTTGGGTTTTGGTAAAACACATTTGGAAGACAACCATTGTATGCGGTTTTTAGATGAGAACAACTTTGCAATTCAATTAACTCTATAACTGTAGGTTTGGTTCTGTGTTTTCAATTTCAACATCAAATGCATTTTGGAATACTTTTATGCTGGAAATTTGTGATTTCTAGAGAACGAAAAAAAATGGAAGTGATCTTAAAATTTTGTGCTTGTAGTACTGACTTCATAGCTGATAGATGCAAACACTTTAATGTCTGAGACTGTACCAGTGGTGATGTTGGCAAATTATAGCCCCTACAGAAGAAAAAAGAGAATTTAAATCTATACCATGCCCCCATGACATGTTTTTCCAAAACCTCACAGAACACTGTGAAGGTACTTTGTCATTAACTACAAACCTGGTGTACACCTGGCGAATGCTGTGTATTCGCAGCCCACCAAATATGTAATCTCTTTTGACGTTTATTGAGGTAAACAGATGAGTAGCACGTAACTATTTTTTGTGACATCTGTACTATTGGTAATAACAAATCTGGTAAACGGCCAAATTAAGGACTGGCGTTTGGTATCACCAATGAAAATTTGTTTACACACAGAATTTTGCCAATCAAATGTATACTGCCAGATTGGAAATTTATACATATGTACAGAGCAGTATCATCTGAAGGGGCGTGGTGAGATGACAGTGACAGTGATATTATGCTAATAATTTTTTTTTGTTTCACAGTGTCAACATCCTTCGAGGAGACAGTTGGAATGAAGATCGTCATTTATTTTATGGATACCAAATTAATTGTCAATGACATAAGGAGTTTGTTTCCTAGTTTGAAGAAACAATTAGTGTTTTATGTGTTTTTTTTTGTTGAGGACAATTTTGTTTGCTTTTACCCATTAAACAGTGTGCGCAAAACTATTTTTGATTCACATATCAGAGTGGTTATATTTGTATTCCAGTCAGTCCTCTAACTACAGATGTATTTTTTGTTATTTTAGTATTTATGTTTTCGCAATAAATATACGTGATCAATTAACAAGAGATAGTGCTTGCATGATATTGCACTGATCAGGTTCATAATATAGAGAAAAATCCAGATGAGTAGAATACTTCTATGTATGTACAATTTATTGTAATGAAGAATTTGTTCTATTATTGTTGGGACTGTTCAATAAATATTTTTTTAATTATACATTTTTTTATTATCCTGAAATTCA